TTTTCTTCTGTTTTTTTTTTTATTCTTATGGAATAGTGAGTACTTTTCCTTTTCTTTTAGATGTGGTAACTAAGTATAATCTTTTTTATTTTTGATTTTAAACTAGCAGTCACTATTAATACAACTGGGTGGGGTCCCATCATGGGTGACTCACCTAATTGAATTCAATATCTCTCACTCACACGTGATGGGACTACCTCTCTCTTTAATTCTACAAGACTCATACATAAATAGGTCGTGTAACCATGCATACTTCGAAAACACTTTAACTATATATCTGTTAGGAGTATATACCTTTTTGAATAGTGAAAGCTTGAAGTATGTAATTGTATGCTATACCGTAAATCACATATTGCATTTATATCTCTAACGATCTCATTTAACTAATAAATCAAGTACATTTATAATTATATTTTTTCATAGATAAACATAACTGGTCGACCAATGAATGTACATCAATAATACGATATATTTTTTAGATTGTGATTTTTCTCTTATCTTGATTCTGTCACCTTTTATTTAATTCGCTTTTCCAGAGATATTCCATTAAATTGAATCATTCATGATCCTCTTGTTATATCCTAAGATAGCGAGCCTTAACTAAAAAGCTTAAGAAAATAGATTAGTGCCATGAGAGTATTAGATGATATTATCTTAAAATTTCAGGGTCTCACACAATATTAAAGTTGAGATCTCACTTTTATTACCCTTTGGTCAAATTAGTTGCACATGTGGTATGAATCACATGTTATGGTATTCTCTCATTTTTCGTGGAGTGCATGTCTTTTATTTCTCATAAATACCGTACCTATTGTAGTTAAATATGCTCAATATCTAACTCGACTTCACTTACACACCTTTTTAACTCTTCAGAACTCTAATATGATAATAAGACAGATAAAGTGATAATTATTAAATTATTCACTTAGTGTCATAAACATAACAATTTTATTATGACTTAATTCTTCATCCTGATGAGTGGCGACAATTATTAATATTTAAGCTGGCTCTCAATTACTACCTAGATAATTAGCTTAAATTTGTCTCATCTTTGTTATACCAAATAACGAAGGTGGATTGCCAGTGTGAGAATGTCAATCTTATATATGTTTGACATGTTTTCTCTAAATGTATAGATGTATACAACATTTGTTCACATGTTTGTATATGTATGCTCTCCAATAAATATAAACAAGGCAATAAGAGGGAAAAAAATAAAGTCTTTCATTGGTAACATAACTAATGAACATGGTTGAAAAATATATAAAATGTAAGTACATTTAACACATACGTAAACCTAATGATTTAACATGCTTATAATATGCATCTCTTGGTATAGGCTTTGTAAATGGATCTGCTACTATATCATGCGTATATATGTACTTCATGTTTACTTCTTTTTGTACAACCATATCTTTCACGAAATTGTATGTAATATCTATATGTTTTATTTTTTCATGAAATTTGAAATTTTTGGTATATGCTATTGCTACTTGATTGCCACAGTTCACAATTACTAGTTTACTAGTAATACCATTGACTCCCAAATAATCCATAAGCATTTTTAACCAAACAGCTTCTTGCATTGTAGCTGAAAAAAACTACAAACTCAACTTTCATTGTGGAAAAGGTTATACATGATTGTTTCTTACTACTTTATGATATAGCACCACCGTTTAGTAAGAAAGCATATCCAGAGGTAGACTTTCTCTCATCTAAATCTCCTCCCTAATTAGTATCTGTATAACACTTCAAGTGTAAATTAACCTCTTAATAACACAATGAGTAATTAGTTGTGCCTTTGAGATAACGTACGATTCTTTTCATTGCTTTTCAATACGCTTGACCAAGGTTGGATTGATATCTACTTACCATTACAACTGCATGACATATGTTAGCCTTGTGCACATCGTAACATACATAAGTTTCCAACTGAACATTGAATAAGAACTTT